GATATACATGATGAATTCAGAAATTGATAATTTAGGTCACCTATTGCAAACAGATGGAAAGATGTCAACAATATTAATTCAACATCCATACCACTATATATATATTAAAATACATGTGATCAAATACTGTATTTTTCTGTTTCTCTATACCAAGAAAATGTTATTTGGTTTGTGATGATTAACGGTATATACACCTTGTGGTTATGATCCTGCCACATCTCTTGATTGTTTAATCAATACATCATGCATATGATTATTAATTCATATTCTGATTGTAACATACCCCCACTTAAACCAGTTATAGTTACAACAGATTCTGATATCTGTTGTTATGAAAAAAATGTTAAGACAAAGGTATAGTTACAATATAAATTCCTTCAATATCATGCAGGAGTGCTTTCTTGACTCACTTTAAATAAATAAAAATACATTTAAAATCACCTTAAGCTCCACCCAACAGCCGCTGGAAAATATGCTTAAACAAATAAAATTCACATTGTTAAGCATCCAATCTCACGAATGTGACTTTCCACAATGGCTGTCAGATATTGGTAAAAATGCTATTAAGAAAATTTTGGGGTGTTTTTGGTATTTTAAGAATATAATAATAACAATAGTTATATTTTTACTAATTGTAAATATATGTATTATATTAAAATACACTTAGAGACACAGTGTATGCATGTGTGTACATACACTTATCTAACTGTATATATAATGATATATACTTAACTCCCTATAGTGCTCCCTTCCCTCGTGCCCCCCGCCCCCCGCCCCTCAATGGTGCAAAAGGGATTAAAAAACCCTTCTGTCACTTACCCGAGTCCAGCGCTGTTGTCCCTCTGCGCTAGTTTGGCCTCCGCCTCTGCTCCTCCCCTGCTGACGTCAGGAGACACCTAATGTACATTTGTGGCAATGGTAGCGCTTAGTGTATTAGTATTTCCACCATAGGAAAGCATTGTAAAATGCTTTCCTGTGGAGTTTTTTTGATGTACATTTTTTTTTACTTTTGTTGTGCACAGATTACAGACAGACAGTCTTGCATTGCCCCAATTACAAGATCCAAGAAACACATTGTGGCAATAGAAATATCGGCACATTTTTAAGATGTATAGGTTAGAAGAAACACAGTATTAAGGAAATCATGTTAGGCAAACATATAGTGGTAAATGCGAGAAGCATGGCAAAGGTAAGACTTAAGACCTGTGGTCACATATGAGAGTAAACGTGCTTGGTAACTAGTGTGGTCTAGCGAGGTCTCATTTTAAATGAAAGAAAAACAAGATAACATGCAAAAATCGCAGTGCATTTAGTGTATACCACAGGAATCAAGGTCGAGCTGTTGTTATACACTTAGCTTATTTTTCTGTGGGGTTTTTACATGACGCTGGATGTCATCCAGTCAGATCAACCAGCCAAAAGTTAGCTGGTAGACAGCCACTAGAACTGGAGGTAACTCTCAAAGGTAAGTATTGTAGTTTATTAAAAACTGCAATAATTACCTTTGCAGGGATAAGGAACCTGGGACTATGTATCCAGACCCCTTTAATGAGCTGAAGTTGTCTAGGTGCCTATAGTGTCCCTTTAGGTTTTATACATACAGTACACTTTAATAAAGATTGAATATCCATTCAGAAATTTGTATATTTTTTTTTTTTTTTTTTTACTCTTGAACCAAATGCTAAACATTCCCCTCTAGAACCCCACCTACTGATCCTCCTTACCAACAGCTTGCTGCCGGTGTCTCAAAATTCTTTTCATTTCCTTCTATCTCCAGATTCCCAATCTTGATTCCCTCAGCAAGCAAACCAATGGTTTTGGTGCCCCAAACCATTTCTTGAGTTTATACTATGTATTTAAAGGACCACACTAGTCACCCAGACCACTTCAGCTTAAAGAAGTGGTCTGGGTGCCAGGTCCCTCTAGGATTAACCCCTTTTTTTATAAACATAGTTTCAGAGAAACTGCTATGTTTATAAAAGGGGTTAATCCAGCCTCCAAATCCTCTAGTGGCTGTCTCATTGACAGCCGCTAGAGACGCTTGTGTGCTTCTCACTGTGAAAAATCACAGTGAGAACACGCAAGCGTCCATAGGAAAGCATTGTAAATAGGAAAGCATTGTAAATGCTTTCCTATGAGACCGGCTGAATGCGCGCGCAACTCCTGCTGCGCATGCGCATTCAGCCGAAGAGGAGGATCGGAGGCGGAGAGCTCCCGCCCGGCGCTGGAATAAAGGTAAGTTTAACCCCTTTCCTCACCATCCAGCCCCTGCGGGAGGGGGACCCTGAGGGTGGGGGCACCCTCCGGGCACTATAGTGCCAGGAAAAAGAGTATGTTTTCCTGGCACTATAGTGGTCCTTTAACGTATGGGAGGTAAGGATATAGCCACTGCGTATATAAAATTGCATTCTGAAAGTATTGACAACATTTCATTTTTTCACATTTATTAGTGTTGCAGTCATATGCTATGATTGTTTACATTGTTTATATCAATCTACACTCAATACCTTATTATTACAGGTTTTTGACACCATTGCAAAATAGTAAACAGAAAAAACCTGAACTATCACATTGACTTCAGACTGTTAACGCACTTAGCTGAAGTGCCTTTGGCAGGTTACAGCCTTAAGTCTTTTTGGGTATGATGCAACATGTTTTGTACACCTGGATTTGCCATTCATCTCTGCAGATCCTCTCAAGCTCTATCAGGCTTGTGGGGATATTTATGGGATAATAATAGTAAACAGTGAGAATTGCCCACTAATTCAATTCTCAGATCCCAAAGATCGTTATCGTGTTAAGTGAAAAGTATTTCATATAAATAAAATCACAATTTGTTATAAAAATAGATTTATTTTATAACAACAAATTAATTAATAATAATAATATGTAACATGCCTGACAATAATCAATGAATATCCAGTATAAAATGATATGCAATACAAAAGAATGGCTATACACGTTTCAATGGCTAAACAGCATTTTCTGTCAAGACTTACACGATTTATGAGGTATCCTTACAGACAGAAAGCGAAGCTTTTCACAGCGAAGGGCCATAAAACCCTGGCTAACAGTTAGATCAACTGAATAACCCTTTCAATGCTGGCTGGATCTCCTAGGTAATTAAGATCTATTCTTATGTACTTTTAAATAAAATAACATTTAAACCAGTTCATTAGTCATTTCCTGGAACCATCCAATAAGAGAATCTACCAGATTTTATAAGCAGATTTTTAATTCGCCTAAAAAGATATCTTATCTTATATTAGAGCAAATCAATATACCTGGATAAAAACAGCGGTATGCTAACATGTGATACTATCACATTAATATATAATTATTCTTAATTCCACCTGCAGAATGGAATGTTTATAACTATATATTCTTTAGTTAACTAAGATTTCTAAATATGGAAATCTGACCGTGATTTATCCACTCATATATCATGCTATTAGTAAATTTTAATTAATTTAAATAATTAAATGAAACCAGTATAATTACCAGTTGAGTAGATATTTCATCCGATTGGTAGATAGTCTCAGGAACTTATTTGGATGTCTCTCTGCATGGAGGTATGTAGGAATTTCTGAGTGTCCTAGAGTGGATATCTGTCATAGGCCACTCTGCATTGTTTCCGACTGCTCATTTCTTTGCTTTCTTTGCATACCCTTGCATTCCTTTTTCCTACCTCCTCCTTCTCCTCCTCTCTCTTAACTTTTAAAGGGCCAGACTCTCTGTACGTCATTAGTTGATAACCCAATAGGCACACTGGAGGTGTGGTTACCTCCCAGATCGCAATTTAGTATTTGTTCTATAGAGGGCAGTCTTGTCCCACTAAACATACCTATCCAGGAAACAGTTAACTTTTCCTGGTGGCTATTTTGACATCATTTTGCTTTATCTATATATCTGCCATAACTTAAGTTTTCTCTTAGTTTTGTCCAGACTTAGTGTCCGCAATTCCTGCTATAATTTCTAATATGACAGTTCGTGAACTAAGTTTAACCTTAAACTTACAATGGGATCTTGTACATATAGAAAGTAAAATTTTATTATTTAATCTCCTCTGTCACAAATGTCTGTATTTAGATATGCATCTATTCCATTAGCATTTAGACACTCTATCCAACCCCCGTTCGCCTTATCACTTAGTTTGTATATACTATGCATTCCTTTAGCTCTGGGAAAGTGGTTAGTTTTACAGATAGAAATCTTGTGTCTTTTGTTAGCTTGAAAATAACAAAATGGAGTCTGCTCTGTTCAAAAGTGACTCAAAATATACACTTTTAATTTCTATCATAGCACAAGATGTCTGCCGATATAAATACCCTGACAGGCTGGATGGGAACCATTGGTGGGCAGCCTTTTCCAGGTCACTCCAAAGAGGTTTGAGTTCAAGTCCAACTTGGGCTGACAACATTCACAGAGTTATCACTAAACCAATATCACGTTGTCTTGTCTGCGTACTTTGAGTCATTGTCCTGTTGGAATATAAACCTTTGGTCCAGTATGAGGTGCTGAGAGCTCGGAAACATTTTCATTAAGATTATCTCTATATTTGTTCAGCTTTATCATAGCTTTGACCAGTCTCACAGTCCCTGTCGCTGAAAAAACCTACCATTGATATGATATTGCACAGGAGATGAACGATACCTGGTTTCCTCCAGACATTACAAGGCTAAACAGTTCAATCTTCCTTGTATCAGTCCAGAGAACCCTGTTTCTTACAGTTCTTTAACTGCTCCTTTGCAAATTCCATTGGTGTTTCATGTGTCTTGCAGTGACGAGAGGCTTTCATGTAGACAGTCTGCTGTATCCTTCTACAAGGTTCTCACATCTCCACACATGATTTCTGGAGCTTATCCAAAGTGACCATTGGGTTCTTGGTCACCAATCTTACCAAGGCCCTTGTCCCCTGTTTGCTCAGTTTGCCAAGGCAATCAGCTCTAGAAAGAGTCCTGGCAGTTCCAAACTTCTTCCATTTAAGAATTAAGGAGGCCACTGTCTTCTTGGGAACATTTAATGCAATTGAAACGCTGTGTCAAAGCTAAAATTTGTAGTTTATCTAAAAATATGAAATAGTTTGAAATGTTTATCCATCAATGGCCTTGATTTGATATTGTTTGATACGTTTTCTTAGATGATATAATATTATAAAAATATTAACATTTTGTAATAGTGTATTAAATATATTGATATATTTTCAAATTTGATATACAACTACTCCTCGGTCGTAAAACAAATTGAACGGTGAGGTCCATGTTCTGGGAAATTGCCCTTAACATAGACAAGCGCAGCAGAGCAGGAAATCACTCAAATCTATGTTCGGGTAACGTTCCCCGAACATAGACCAGCTCTATAACGTGGGGAATCCTTTGAATCCCCACGCTAGAGAGCTGGTCAAAAGCATGGCCGGTGCAAGGACTTTTTGGTACACAGACGAAGATTCATCTTGCCGCCCCCTCCTCCCCAACCCACAAATAAAATGCATCTTAAGTGGTGTCTTTTATCCAGCTTTTTCTAATTTTTACCCCATTTAGTGTATTGTATCCCCCTTTAGTGTGTTGTACACCCCCTTGAATGTCCCTTACAACCACCGTTGTGTATCTATTTTTCCCCCCAGCCACTTTGTTTTTCTCTTTCTTTCCCACAGCCCTTTTCTGTTGGTCTCTTCCCTCAGCCTGTTTTTTTGTGTGTCATGCTTCCCCACAGGGCCATTTGTGTATCTTTTCCTCCCATGCCATATAGACATAGATATATAGCAACATGCACATACAGGCACACAGTCACAGAAATATGCAGGCACACAATCTTACAATCAACACATACAGGTACACTATCATACAAACCTAGACATACAGACACACACAGAGACATGCACACACTGTCATATAGAGAAATAAATACATTCATACAGAAATATACACACAGGCATGCAGAGACAGGCATACACAGATAAAGTCACACAAAGATATACAGAACAAGGCATACAGAAACATACGGACACAGTCATACATACAGCCATAGGCATACATACACAGTCATATAGTCATACAGCCACAGGTATACTGAGTATGGGCAGATCCAGAAGCTAATCTTGGCAGGGGGGGCTGGTAGTAAGTTGTAGTGGGATCATAGGGGCTGTAGTTGAGAGTTAGGGGTTGTAATTGGGGGCCTAGGAAATGTAGTGCGGGTTAGGGACTGAAGTAGGTTGATGGGTGCAAGTAGAAACAAGGTCTGTAGTGTGGGGGATATGGGCAGCAATTCGGGGAGAGGGGCTGTAGTAGAGTTATGGGGTGTAAAAGGGGGTTAGGGGCTGCACATGGGGGAATAGAGGCTGTAATGGAAGGGATGTGAAGTAGGGGAGTTAGGTGCTGTAGAGGGAGGTACAGGGGCAATATGGTTGAAAACAGGGGCAGTAGATGGGGACACAGGAGCAGTAGATGGGGACACAGGAGCAGTATGGTGGTGACACAGGAGCTGTAGAGGGGGACACTTGGGCTGTAGAGGAGGACACAGGCAATATAGTGGTGTCACAGGGACAGTATGGTGGGGTAAATGGGCAGTAGAGGGGGAGACAGTGGCAGCATGGTGGGGGCAGGGGCTGTATAGAGAAATAGAGGGGGCACAGAGGCGAAAAGGGGGGCACAAAAGCAATAGAAGGGGGACAGGGGCTGAAGAGGATGGAACAGGAGCAGTATAGTGGGGACAGGGGCTGTAGAGGGAGAAACAGAGGAAGTAGAGGGGGAACAGAAGCTGTAGAGTTAAATAGAGGGTAAGTAGAGGGGGGCTGGGGCAGTATGGTGGGGGCCAGGTACTATAGAGGGGGCACAGGGGCAGTAGAGGGGGGCAGGGGCTGTAGAGGGAAATAGAGGGTCTGTATGCACAGGGGCAGTATGATGGAGGCAGAGGCTGTAGGGGGAATAAAGGGGCAGTAGAAGGGGTTAATATGGTGGGGCAGGGACTATAGCGTGAAATAGAGGGGCTGTAAAAGGGGCAGTATTGTGGGGGGCAGTGGCTGTAGAGTGGCACATAGAGTAGAGCAGTAGAGAGGGGCTGCTAAAATAAAAAAAACAAAAACAAAAAACCATGTTAAAAGTTCTTCTCCCTCCCACATGCTTACCTTGGGCCAGGGAGGGGAGAACCTTTGGGTGGGAAGGGCTGCATTGGAGGCGTGAACTGCAGATAGTCAGAACCGCTGGGGAGTCTGGGATCAGTTGAAGTCCCGCCCCTTCTGACATCATCAGAAGAGGCCGGCTGACTTCACTGCGAGGCTCCTGTGTGCTGGCTGCAGGGAGAAAGGAGAGGAAAGTAAAAAAATCTGAGTCCCCAGCCAGAGGCAGGGGATTCGATTTTTACACCCCCCCCGCTCTAGCGCCCTAAGGCACCGCCTGTGCTGCCTTATGGACGCGCCGGCCCTGGTTGCGATAGCCGTGGTAAAACAGGTAGGCCGTAAAATGAAGACCACCAGTATTTTATTATGTAAACTATGTAGACCGGCGCTAGACAAAGGTAAGTGGCTGAAGAGGTTTTAACCCCTTCAGCCCAGTGGGAGGGGGGGATCTATTAACCCTATATGCCAGGAAAATGAGTTTGCTTTCCTGGCACTATAGGGCTTCTTTAAAGGTGGACTTTATTAACAAATATTTGACGGCCATTGAAGTAATGTGTCTTTTTACATGTTTTTATAATTGTAACGGATCACCTGGCACCTCCGTTGATGGATGCTCCTAGCGCTTCCTGAGGGCTCCAAGCACTCCAGCCGACACCATAACCACCATAGACTCCTTCTGAGAGCAAGACATGAAAAAGCTCTTACAAGAGCTTAGCAGTGATTTTGCAAGGGAGTATGACAATCATAGCAATCCCTTGTAGCAAATTTCCCCAATAAGAGACAGGACTCAGATTGAGGGTGAAGTAGAACTGAAGCTTTTAATCACTCTGCTTTTATGTTCATTTTACAAACATAGTACCGCCCAAAGGGTTTTGAAGAACAAACCAATCAATACATTACAACACAGCTAAACACTCCCATTCATACCAGCAGAAATCCTCCCCTGTGCCTGTGATACAATTACTGAACACAATGGGCTAACGTAATTATCACAGGCAGGAAAATACACAGTTTTACACAATATTCATAACTTTACAAGTATACATCACATTCACATAAACTTACATTTTCAGAATCAGCATACTCCAAATACAAAGATACTCAAAAATAAGACAATTCCTTCCATTGGTTTAAAAGTTAGGTCGAAGTCCTTTGTGACCACTGAAGCATGGCTTTCCAGCCAAATCCAGTTCTACAAAGTCCTCTATCCTGGAGATAATTGGCTTAACTGGGTATGGTAAGCCAACTATCTCCAGGTACAGAAAAAGTCTCTATTCACAACAACAGCAAAAATACACAAAAATACATAATTCCTATCATACTGAACAGAACCCCAACATACAACCTGTCCCCAGATGGTTTGGATCTGAGTGCTCTATATATTCAAACAGCGCTCAGATCCCACGAACACAGTCAAATCGCCATGGGGGTTAAACCATAGCAAAGGCTGATGAGAGACAGAGGAGGGTCAAAACAGCAAGTTCCAACTGGTCTGGCAGTGTCCCTGGGACAACGCCCTGCTGGAGAACAATAGACAGGAAACGGGGGAGGGGCACACCTTCCCATGTATTCAAAGGGACAGAAAAAGTGTTTCAAAATCCAATAAGCCCAAATAAGTTTCTTAAAGGACAATACAGTTCAGGTGCCATAGTCACAAGGCAAGAGGCTGGCAATCAGTCCTTTCCAATGCCCAGTGGCGAGGCTGGTTCCGCCACAATAATTATTTCATGCGGCTATTATTGTTATATTGTTTTAGTCTGTGAGTGAAACATTTGTATCTGGCATTTTTTATTAACGGATATTTTTTGATCAATACTTCTTGCAGCACACTTTGATCATTTTTACATAGCTAATTACTGGTAAATTAAGCCAAAATTACTGGGTGGTGGGTCTATTTTAGTAAACAGCAGCTGATCTTTAGTTTCATCGTGTTTCTTAAGTGCCACACAACCTCTATATTTCGCAGTTAAACAAAAGATATTTCATGAGAAATTTGCACTGTTATAAAGCTGACATCCAGCGCTCGCTCAAAGAGGAAGTAAGGGATTCCTATCGAGTAGCACTGCAGGCACAGTGAGGCAGGGACAGCACCTGGTTTCCATGGTTTCTCTGTGTTTGGTCTCTTCTATAGGAAACTTGGTAGAAATCAAAAAAGTAGACATTTGCAATTCATTTCGTTCTGAAATGTCAATTCAGCCGAATTTCGGGCAATTCGGACATTTGGATACTTCCGAATAGCTGAATTGCTTTAGTGATGAATTTTGGAATGCCGAACCAAAGTACTGAAGTCCCGAAGCAATAAGCGCCGAATGTCCGAATTTCGGATTTGCTGAAAAGCAGAAATACTGAAGCACAGAATTACCAAAGTACTAATATACCCAGTGGAAGAATGTTACACTGTATACTAGTTTAAATAAAAAGTATACACACATAGCCAGGATTCAGCTGTAAGCACTTGCAACACTTACATTTTATATGAACGTGTTACTTGATTGTTGTAAGTTACTTAGCCAGTCAATGGATGGGAATGAGTAAGTAGATAGCTCCCTAATATCGTTGGAATTATGGAGTTATCTACCAAAAGGCTGAAAGACCTAAATTGGTCTTTCAGCCAAATTTACTAATACTAAGTAAAAATTACTTGGTATTAGTAAATTCTGCCCCTACTTGCTATACCGCGAGTAGGGGCATGTCTAGTAAACAGTGAGCAGCCTATGGCCTATGGCTGCTCACTGTAAAAAAACAAAAAACCTGTGTCCCCCCCTCCCGAGCTACGCGAATGGGGGCTTTTAAAGTGAAGAAGGGACCTATTGCCCCCCCATGGCCCTCACCCCTGAGGGGCAGGTGGGGGCCCTGGATGACAATGGGGGGAACTATCTGATTTAGGGCCCCCACCCCTGAGCGGCGGGTGGGGGCCCTAAATCAGAAAAAAGGAGTGGGGGCCGCGGGAGGAAAACAGCCCCCCCTATTCTAATTTAGGGCACCCACTTGCCGCTCAGGGGTGGGTGCCGGACAATAGGTCTCCCCCTCCTTATTCTAATGTAGATTTTGGAAGTGCCGAACTGAACCGAAGTGCCGAAGTCCCGAATTTTAGAATGCAGAACTGAACCGAATATTTTGCCCATGCACATCCCTACAAACCAGTATCGACAAAAACCCAGTGTAATAAATAATTGTATTTATTTATTAGCCTAGAATGTTTCTTTAAGAAAGACAATTTTTGAGATATCATACATGGTAACTGCACACAGGTTAATATGTTTAGTTTGGATTGCTTAAGATTTGGGTAACATTTTCTTCTTCACTTTAGCTTTATATATAATTAAGAATACAAACCTGGTTATTTACTAAAGGAAGGATTCAAAGTGAATTTAAAATTGAACACCACAGTAGCCTAACTGAAAGTATTTTAGACATCAGAGAGTTTTTTCCACTTCAGCCATTTTGACTTTAAAGGTACACTATAGTCACCTAAACAATTTTAGCTTCATGAAGCAGTTTTAGTGTATAGATCATGCTTCTCAGGTTTCACTGCTAAATTCACTGCCATTTAGAAGTTAAATCACATTTGTTTCTGTTTATGCAGCCCTTGTCCCTGGCTCTGATTGACACAGCCTGCACACAAAAAAAACAAAAACTGTTTTCACTTTCAATCAGATGTAATTTACCTTAAACAATTGTATCTCTTTCTCTGTAAATTGAACTTTAATCACATACAGGAGGCTCTTGCAGAGTCTAGCAAGCTATTAACATTACAAGGGATAAGAAAATCTAAATAAAACAGTACTAAAGTGATAGAAAGGATAAACTTTAGATGACTCTTTACAGGAAGTGTTTATGGAAGGCTGTGTAAGTCACATGCAGGGAGGTGTGACTAGGGTTCATAAACAAAGTGATTTAACTCCTAAATGGCAGAGAATTGAGTAGTGAGACTGCAGGGGCATGATCTATACAACAAAACTGCTTCATTAAGATAAAGTTGTTTTGGTGACTAGAGTGTCCCTTTAAATTGAAACTTACTTTAAGTAAATCCTAAAAAAAAAAAAACTGCTACCCAGTGTGAATCCTCTGAAATGTAAGAAGTGTTAAATTAAAAGATTCTTCTATGTTCTTAGCAAGATAATTCAGTGTGAATCCTCATATGTTTCTTCATCTTTGACATTTGAGCAAAGCATTTCCCACATTCAGAACAAGAAAATTGTTTCTCTCCCGTGTGAATCCTCATATGTTTCTTAAGCTCTGACATTTGAGTGAAGCATTTCCCACATTCAGAACAAGAAATTGGTTTCTCTCTTGTGTGAATCTTCACATGACGCTTAAAATTTGAAAGATCATTAAAACATTTCTCGCATTCTGGACATGAAAATGGTTTTTCTCCTGTATGTATCTTCATATGATGCTTAAGATTTGAAAGGTCAATAAAGCGTTTCCCACATTCTGAACATGAATATGGTTTTTCTCTTGTGTGAACCTTCTGATGACGCTTAAAATTTGAAATGTTAATAAAACTTTTCTCACATTCTGAACATGAAAACGGTTTCTCTCCTGTGTGAATCTTCTGATGATGTCTAAGACTTGAAATGGCACTAAAACATTTCCCACATTCTGAACATGAAAATGGTTTCTCTTTTGTGTGAATCTTCTGATGACGCTTAAAATTTGAAAGATCAATAAAACATTTCCCACATTCTGAACATGAAAATGGCTTCTCTCCTGTGTGAACCTTCTGATGATGCTTAAAACCTGAAAGGTCACTAAAACATTTCCCACATTCTGCACATGAAAATGGTTTCTCTCTTGTGTGAATCTTTTGATGACGCTTAAAATTTGAAAGGTTACTAAAACATTTCCCACATTCTGAACATGAAAATGGTTTCTCTCTTGTGTGAGTCTGCAGATGGCGCTTACAATTTGAAAGATCACTAAAACATTTCCCACATTCTGAACATGAAAATGGTTTCTCTCCTGTGTGAATCCTCTGATGTATTTTCAGATTTGTCACTTGAGCGAAGCATTTCCCACATTCAGAACAAGAAATTGTCTTCTCTTCTTTGGGAGCTTTTCTATGTCTTCTAAAATGTGATTTCTGCTTAAAACACTCACGTCTAATGTAATCTGTACTAGTCAATTTATTTCCTTTGTTGACACTCTTCTGTTTAACAAGCTCTGAATTGGTAGATGAAACCTTAGCACCATCAAAGGAGTAACTATTCCCTTTATTTTGTATTCCAATATGACACATGGGGGTAAGAAGGTCCATAGTGGTGGGATTTCCATCTTCACATGAGGCTGATTCCTCCTTAATATGAGCAGATGGATATTCGGTCTGTGGATGTTCCGCGGGTGTATACATTTTAGCTTCTCTGATATTTCCTTGTTTAGGTGATGGGGATTCATTATTTGATGTATAGTCCATCTGCTTATCTCCTGTGGGTGTATAGACCTTGGTGATCGTGAGAGTGCTGGCTTCACATGAGGCTGATTCTTCCTTAATAAGGTCAGGTGGATATTCTGTCTGTGTTTGGCCTGTGTGTATATAAATATCCGTGTTCATGAGAGTTGGTTTTTCATTTGATGCTGATTGACACTTTGATGTATAGTCCAGATGTATATCTCTATCGATTGTATAAATGGCAGCTTCAACAACATGTGTTTCTTCCAATGAGACCGATTCCTCCTTGAGATAAGTTGATGGATATTCTATCTGTGCATCTTCTGTGGGTGTATAAATGTCTGTGTCTGGGAGATTTCCTTCCTCGCACGAGTCTGATTCCTCCTTAATAAGAGTAGATGTATATTCTATCTGTGAATTTTCTGGTGAGTAATTGTCTGTGTCTGGGAAATTTCCTTCCTCATACAAGTCTGATTCCTCCTTAATATGAGTAGAAGTATATTCTATCGGTGCATCTTCTGTGGATGTATAAATGTCTGTGTCTGGGAGACTTCCTTCCTCATACGAGTCTGATTCCTCCTTGATAAGAGTAGATGGATATTCTATCGGTGCATCTTCTGTGGGTATAAAAATGTCTGTGTCTGAGAGACTTCCTTCCTCACACGAGTCTGATTCCTCCTTAATATCAGAAGATGGATCTTCAGTCTGTATAGGTTCTATGGATGAATTAATGTCTATGAGATTTACTTCTTCGGATTCTGTGATTTCATGATAATCATTATGTGATTTACTGCTTGGTGTACTGACTGCCACACAGTCTATTTTTTGATTAATTGTGATGTTATCTTCAGTTATATAATCCGCAGAATAAACTGAAGTATAAAATTCATCTCTCTTTATGGAATCATCTACTGGGAAAAAAAACAAATCTTAAAATTAGATTTTCTTAAATGACATCATAAGAGGCAGATGTCTAGGTTGTTGCTCTTTCTCCCTGTTTTTCAACAAAATATATTTTTTAATTATAATTTTTCTTAACTTTTTTACAATTAATATTTTATTATTAATATTATTTAACCGAGAGGTCATAATGCATCACAAATGGAATTGTCAATGAAAAGCAGGTTATAACAACATGTAATAATATTACATAGGAAGAAAACAATGCAACTGCTGTCTATTAATCTGATACCGAGTTCACAAAAAAGGGACCCTGTAAGAACGAAAATAAATACATTGTTAGACAAAAAAAGCCTCACATGCAAAATAAACAAACATTCTGTCTTGCTCTGATGCCAATTGGAAACTCTTGAAAAAGGTGCGCATGAGCGCCGAAACACACGTCGAGCAGAACCTTGATTTTGTTTTGTTTTTTGTTTAGCTAATGTGTGCCTAGGACAAATAGGTTTTTACAGAGTCAGTTGGGTGTTTGCAGGGCAGACTTAAAGAGCTTTTAGGGGACTGCCTCGAAGCAGTGGGAGGGGAGGATAGTGCAATGCTGTGACTTATTATACTAATTTTACTATTCTCTATGGTTACACATTTTTGATAACAGCTTAACCCTATCTCAAGAACTGCTCTAGATATCTACTCTATTGCCTAATTATTTCTAAGATTGTCCAGCCATTAGGATCTCTGGACACCGTTTATCTAGCTCTCAAATGATCATTTTATACTTTAGTCGAACATTTAGCTAACTTTTGCTGTTTATTTATTTAATTCTTTTCTCTGAATCGGAGGGGTTGCTCTTTAGGACAACATAATTGACCTTGGATTTCTCTAAATTCTAATTGATAGTCAAGCTCAGGGTTACTGTATGTCCTCTGTTCTAGCGGTCTTTCTTTATTCCAAAACTAGAATAATAACTGATCCATTTACCATTGGGAAGTATTCACATATTTCATCTCAATTGTAGCAGACCCGTATTAGCCTACACTCATTACGGTTAGTATTCCAATTACTGTGAGTCTGTTAGTTACCACACTAATTTGGAGCTTACTACAGCTAGCAGCAACAGGTGTTTTTAACCAACTTTCCTTAATTCTGGTTTCAATGTGATTTTCTTCTTTTCTTCTCATCTAGTTTTTAGATTTTTGGATCACGTTTCTTATGAAATTCCATTTGAGCCTTGATATACTTCATATATACGATTCCTCAACGAGGTCATACCGAGGTCATTGTTTGTAGGGATCAATCTCATTTGGGTTCAATAATTTCCCTTTAGTGTTTTTGATTTTGGATAGTCTAGCTATGGGAGCATGGATCTGCAATTAGCTCTATGAGGTCTTTGGGATCCTTTCAATGAGCTTTAGGACAGATCTATGTAAAATTGTTGATTTTTCTTCTAAGAGGGATCATGTCAAATCTTATTCAGCTTTTTTTCTGGATTAACCTTTTTCAAATTAGATATTTGACAAATAAGTCCAATTTGCGGATTTCCTTACTGAACAGATCTCTCTTAATTTTTTTTTTTCTATTCAGCCATGACTCTGATTAAACATATGACAAGGGTGACATAGATGCAATATAGGTTTTAATTTAAAGGACCACTATAGGCACCCAGACCACTTCAGCTTAATGGCGTGGTCTGAGTGCCAGGTCCATCTAGGATTAACCCTTTCTGCTATAAACATAGCAGTTTCAGAGAAACTGCTATGTTTACCTATGGGTTAATCCAGCCTCTAGTGGCTGTCTCATTGATTTTCACAGTGAGAATATGCCAGCGTCCATAGGAAAGCATTGAGAATGCTTTCCTATGAGACTGTCTGAATGCGCGCGCGGCTTGTGCCACGCATGAGCATTCAGTCGATGTCGTGAAAGGAGGCGGAGAGTCCCCACGCCGAGGGAGCACGGCGGTGGAGAAAAGGTAAGTGATTAACCCCTTCCTCACCATAGAGCCCGGCAGGAGGGGGACCCAGAGACCCTATAGTGCCAAGAAAACGAGAATGTTTTCCTGGCACTATAGTGGTCGTTTAAGCTACTGTTGCAAAGTACTTATTAGATCACATTGCAGTTTACCTCACCGTTACAAAATTGCAAGTAGTGTGTGGTAGGTGGATAGGCGACAACTATAGTTGTTTTACTCCCTGGCACATTAGGTTTAAAAAACATTTTTTTTTAAATTAAACACTTGTTCACAGTTTACTTTTTTAATTTATTTGTTGGTTTAAGTTTTTAGTTTTTTGGCTTGTTTTGTGTTTTTACGAATTTTACTCCATAAAGGATTTAAATAAAATGATTTTCGTGTTACCATAAAATAATGATTTTTTTATTAGTCTAATTTTTTTTTACGTCTGGCCTTCTGGTGGTGCTTGTCTTCACTATTTTATAAAAATAAATACATGTTATTCGTGTGATATTGGTGCAAAGACCCTCTCCCTGCACCCCGACAAACCTAAATGCTGCAATTGATGAGAAATAGCAATGGTTACACTTGCCAATAAGGTTACCTCTGTTGGCTGTCAGACTGTCAATCACTAGAAATTAGAGACATTTCTTTGAGAAGATTTGAAATACTTGAAAGCCTTCATGTTTGGCATTGCAATGCTTCTTTTAGAGGACCCATGGATTCAATGCTACCAGAGGGGTCAGACGGAGAGTTCTGAAGTCATAATATTAGACTTGAGTGGTTACATTTGAAAAGGTCTCTATTATTTAAGTGTGGCCACTATTTAATGAACTCCCATCTAAGACACGTGTGGGATTACCATTTGAGTGAGAAATCTCTGCCGTTCTCGTTAACATGCAGATAGAGGTGAATGCAGGATCCTATGTCCGGAGGTGATCATTCAAGCTCCAGTATCTAGTTTTTGGGATCAAGCTAGAATTGAGTTGTGGAGTGATGATACGGCAGTCCGACCAACTGATATTGCCAGTTATGGCACAATGTCATATATTTAAGTGCAGCTCCAGCAATCCATTAATGTTATTTTACTACTTACTAACTGCAGTGACAATCCTATATTGCTTAGCAAGTTGAGTTTCTACCTAGCACGCAGAAGAACTTGTAGAGGCTGGATGAGCCAGAATGTCTCTAGTCCAGTAAGCCTCCACTTTCCCAAATGGAGTACCAACTAAAGGATGGGCCTTGCAAATACTCAGTGGCCATCACGTGTGACTTGTATAACATCTTCTCTGTAAAGATAATATTAAACCAATTTTATTTTCTTCGTACAGCTTACCAGTCTGTAATAACCGTTCAGATCTCACACTGTGTTCCAGGTGTTTGATGATATAAGTGAATGATATCTACTCTACAACCAAACACAATGCTAATAAAACATTGTCTCACCCAAGGAGATGAGGGGGTGGTTACGCTCCATCATCACTTCCTTGTAAGTTTCACTTTGCCCTTTCAAATACTTCCAAACCTACAAGAAATAACAGACAGTGAGATCCCAACATCTTTATTCAGTCACCATCCAGACACATCCCTTGGTTTTACTCTTTGATGTCCCATTCCCAGCAGCCTCACCTCTCCAGTCAGCAGGTGGATGATCTGATTGGTCAGTTCCAGGATGTTCTGCTCATTGTTTCCCTCATGTATCAGGGAGTAAGATGGACACACCGTGTTGGGGCTCTGAGTCTTGCAGGATCCTCTTAACACACAGGGACTGCTTCTCTGTATTGTAGGCTTGGCATTTTTCTTAACAACAATGTAATCCTGTACATAAAGAAAAATGTATTAAAGGATCTCTCCAACTAAGCCTATCCTTCATGCTTTCTCTCTCTTAGTCTACACAGAAGGTCACTTTGTTACCTTGGGAGTTTTTTTGTTAAAAAATTTTTTTATTGTAAATGCATGGTACACGAATATAACACGAATGACATTATCATTTATGCTTTTGACTGTCGGGATCCCGCGGGCGGCTGCGAGGGGAGGCTGCACTCCGCTCGCGGTACTCACCCTCCAGCCGTCCGTGGTCCCCTCCTCCTCGTGGGCTCGGCAAGCGGCATCCTTCCAGCCTCGGATGCCGCCCGCCGTTTCCTCCACGTCCCCCAGCGGCAGCATACATGACGCTGCACGCTGGGAGACCGCCCAAGTTAGTACACGCCGAGGTCAGTCACCTGACCCGGCGTTAAAGGCACAGTGTCTCAATCACAGTGGGAGGTCTAGATATCTCCCACGTGTGATTGTTAATTCTGATTGGAAATTATCCAATCAGAATTAACCTTATGGTTTAAATACTTACCTTTCCTGTTCCTCCCTGCCCTGTTGTGGTCTTTGCTTGCTAGTATTGCGATTTACCTTGTGCTTCTGGTTACGTACTCTCTGGCTTGTTTATCTGACTCTGTGACTTTCTCCTACCCTTTGACCTCGGCTCGTTTCACGTTATTCTTGTCTTCTGGTTCCCCTTACTCGGCTTGTTTCCTGACTATTCTGTGTGTGCTTAGCCCAGCCACTCTAAGGTCCGGTACGGCCCCTTTTCTGTGTGTGTGTGTGTGTGTGTGTGCCAGCGTGTTGGGTTCCCCGAATCGTGACATTACAACAGGGCCATAATGGAACCTGCTGACATACCACAGCTCCTAGTTAATCAAGAGACTAGAATGGATGTCTTGGACCACCGTATGGATCAGTTTGCTCAAGCTTTGCAAACCATACTGGCTCGTACTGCACACTTGCAACCTGCCGTTCAGGAGGCTGCTGCTGCTGTGCCCGAACCCATTCCGTCCTCGGGTGTTATGACTTTGTCCCCTCATGTGTCCATCTCCAGACCGTTTATTACGGTTTCTCTTTTGGTCAATAAAACCACTATAACAACCAAAGCCCTGATCGATTCGGGTGCAGCAGACAACCTTATGGATGAGACCTTTGCCAAAACCGCAGCCCTGAATTTGATCCGAAAGGATACACCCTTGGCCGTTGAGGCCATAGATGGTAGACCACTGGAGAAACCTCTGGTGACCCATGAAACCCAGGAAATAGTTATGTCTGTGGGTGTTTTGCACAAGGAGAAGTTAACCTTCCAAATAATTGACTCCCCTACAGCCTCCATCGTTCTGGGTTTTCCCTGGTTAGTTAAACACAACCCTGTTCTTGATTGGGGTTGTTTAGATATACTCTCCTGGGGGGAATCTTGTCAACGAGACTGTATGGCTCATGTACATCCTGTCTGTTTACTTAACGTGCCCACGGCTAAACCACTCTCGGTTTCTGTCCCTTCTGTTTATGCAGACCTTGCCTTGGTTTTTGAAAAGAGCGAGGCAGATAAGCTACCTCCACATCGTGAGTATGATTGTGCCATAAACCTCTTACCGGGTACTATGCCTCCTAGGGGAAAGGTCTACCCTCTTTCTGAAAAAGAAAACCAGATTATGGAGGAGTACATACGGGAATCCCTAAGTAAAGGTTTTATTAGAAGGTCCTCCTCTCCTGCTGGTGCTGGTTTCTTCTTTGTGGCAAAGAAGGAGGGCGATTTGAGGCCATGTATAGACTACAGGGGTCTGAACAATATAACGGTTAAAAACGCCTACCCTATCCCCCTCATCACTGAGTTGTTTGATCGTGTTAAAGGTTCTAAATTCTTCACCAAATTAGACCTCAGGGGGGCTTATAACCTTGTCCGTATAAAGGAGAATGACGAGTGGAAGACAGCGTTCAACACACGCAGTGGGCATTACGAATATCTGGTCATGCCTTTTGGACTGTGTAATGCTCCTGCCGTGTTTCAGGACCTCATAAATGATGTCCTTAGGGATCTATTGCATGTCTGTGCTGTGGTGTACCTTGACGACATACTTGTGTATTCTCCTGATTTGAAGTCACACCATAACCATGTTAGGATGGTGCTCAAAAGGCTATTGCAGAACGGACTCTACTGTAAGTTAGAAAAATGTTTATTCGATCAGATCAGATGCAATTCCTAGGATATATCATTACTGAACAGGGTTTCAGTATGGATCCTGCTAAATTGGAAGCTATACTGTCCTGGCCACTTCCCCAAGGACTGAAGGCTATCCAGCGTTTTATAGGATTTGCCAACTATTATAGGAAATTTATAAAAATCTTTTCACCACTCATCTCTCCTATAACGAAGCTGACTAAAAAAGGTCTACACCCTAGGGTTTGGACTCCTGAAGCCCTTAAGGCCTTCGAAACCCTCAAGAAGGCATTTGCCTCTGCTCCAGTGCTGCACCACCCTGATCCTTCTCTTCCCTTTGTTATGGAAGTAGACGCTTCAGAGTCAGGTGTGGGAGCCGTACTGTCACAGAGGTTGTCGTATGACAAACCCCTCCATCCCTGTTGTTATTTTTCTAAAAGGTTGTCTGATTCAGAGAAGAATTACGATGTTGGGAACAGGGAACTATTGGCTATTGTGTTAGCTTTTAAGGAATGGAGGTACTTATTAGAGGGTTCTAGACACAAAATTATGGTTTTAACAGATCATAAGAACCTCTCCTATATAGCTGATGCTAGAAGGTTATCTGCCCGGCAGGCTGGATGGTCTCTATTTCTCTCACGCTTCCAATATGTTATTACCTATAGACCTGGTTGCCGTAATGCCAAAGCTGACGCTATCTCTCGACAGCATGAACCAGTAGAATTTGTTAACCCGACTCCTAAACCTATTGTACCTGCGTCTCAGATAATAGCTGCTACCCGTTTGGTTGTTTCTTCACCTTTCCTTGATAGTATTAAGACATACCAAACCCAGGCACCCCCTGAGACGCCGGTTGGTAAACTATACGTTGAAGCAAATGACAGAAAAAAGTTGTTAACTTTATTTCACAACGCCAAAACTGCTGGTCATCCGGGGGTTACCAAAACCTACAAGGGCCTCCTTCAACAGTTCTGGTGGCCTTCACTCAAGCGAGACGTAGTGGATTTTGTTCAGGCTTGTCGGGTCTGCACGCGGTGTAAGTCCCTTAATGTGAGACCCCAGGGTTTTCTGATGCCTCTATCTATACCCAAGAAACCATGGACCCACTTATCCATGGATTTCATTGTAGACCTGCCTCTTTCTGATGGTCAGACGGTGATACTGACTGTGACGGATAGGTTCTCTAAAATGGCGCACTTTATTCCGCTTAAGAAACTGCCTTCTGCGGTTCAGTTAGCTCAGGTGTTTGCCAAAGAAGTGTTCCGATTGCATGGGGTACCTCAGGATATCGTATCTGACAGTGGCCCTCAATTTGTCTCTCAGTTTTGGAGGGGCTTTTGTGCTGAGATGGGGGTCTCCTTGAATTTGCCAGGAATATGGTGTCTCATTCGTCTACTGGCTTAAGTCCTTTTGAGGTTGCTTATGGGTTTCGACCTTATGTCCTTCCCGGTGCGTTCTCCGACAAGGGAATGCCTGCCTTGGACCAGCACCTCGCCTCTTTGCGGAAGACGTGGGATCAGGTCCATGTTGCGCTGTCTCGTTCAGCAGCTGCTCAGAAAAAGTTTGCTGATCGCCGTAGAGTTGCGGCCCCTTCTTATGTTCCGGGTGATAGTGTATGGTTGTCCTCCAGGAACCTCCGTCTCAAGGTTCCCTCGATGAAATTTGCCCCCAGGTTTCTTGGTCCCTACAGGGTGTTACGCAGGGTTAACCCCGTTTCCTACTCCCTTGACCTGCCTCCTTCCATGCGTGTCCCGAACACGTTTCACGTCTCGCTTTTGAAGCCCTTGCTGTGTAACCGGTTCTCTCGTCCCCTCGGGCGGCCCATTTCCCCTCGCGCTGTCTCTGGCGACGTGTACGAGGTGGCTGCCCTTCTCGACTCTCGTGTTTCTAGGGGTCGGCTGCAATATTTGGTGAATTGGAAGGGGTACGGCCCTGAGGAGCGGTCTTGGGTTTCGAGCTCTGATGTGCACGCTCCCTCTTTGGTCCGCTCCTTTCATGCCTGGTTTCCTTTGAAGCCTTCCGCTTCCCGCCCTCTGGGCGGTCTTCGAGGGGGGGTAATGTTGGGATCCCGCGGGCGGCTGCGAGGGGAGGCTGCACTCCGCTCGCGGTACTCACCCTCCAGCCGTCCGCGGTCCCCTCCTCCTCGTGGGCTCGGCGAGCGGCATCCTTCCAGCCTCGGATGCTGCCCGCCGTTTCCTCCACGTCCCCCAGCGGCAGCATGCATGACGCTGCACGCTGGGAGACCGCCCAAGTTTATACACGCCGAGGTCAGTCACCTGACCCGGCGTTAAAGGCACAGTGCCTCAATCACAGTGGGAGGTCTAGATATCTCCCACGTGTGATTGTTAATTCTGATTGGAAATTATCCAATCAGAATTAACCTTATGGTTTAAATACTTACCTTTCCTGTTCCTCCCTGCCCTGTTGTGGTCTTTGCTTGCTAGTATTGGGATTTACCTTGTGCTTCTGGTTACGTACTCTCTGGCTTGTTTATCTGACTCTGTGACTTTCTCCTACCCTTTGACCTCGGCTCGTTTCACGTTATTCTTGTCTTCTGGTTCCCCTTACTCGGCTTGTTTCCTGACTATTCTGTGTGTGCTTAGCCCGGCCACTCTAAGGTCCGGTACGGCCCCTTTTCTGTGTGTGTGTGTGTGTGCCAGCGTGTTGGGTTCCCCGAATCGTGACATTGACCTGTTATTTGGTAAGTTACATTCACTATTTTGTGGTTTTTCCAACATGTACAAAACAGAAAAAACAAGTAAAACAAAAGAAACAAGAGTTACCAAACCAAATAGTTCATTGTTAATAAGCAAGAGGTTGAGCCCAGACACTCACCTTTAGATGTAGGTGTCTGGCAGGCTCAGCCAGTGCCAGTTTTTCCGAGATACCACTTGCGTGGCACTGGGGTTATGAGTTTTTGCTACTCAGGACAATGAAACATACCTTTTTAAATTGCAAATTTTTGTAAGAGCAAAAGAAGGTACACCAAGGAAGGTCTGCGGTTCCATTGCTCTGCTACCAAAGCATGAATTGAAAGACCAAACTAAATTAAATTAGACAGAACATAGTAAATTAAAAATAGTAAAATAATTGCCGATTTGCCTTAGCATCCCGCAAGATTGAGATAAACCCATCAAGGAATTACTGCCAGGGGATCTCGACCCGCCACCACCTCAGCCGAGAACCATGCCGTGTATGCCAAAGTGGTTTTCACCTTGGTCTAGAAAGATTTGTCTAGGGTGAGAATATATGATCTCCAAGTCAAGAGAATTTTTTTGGCGAGGAGTTTGTTGTTAGTTAGTGTGTCCAACCAATCCATTTTGAATACAAAAGCAAGCTTGGTTAGAAATAACTCTATGGTGGGCGCTAGCAGCTGGTTCCAGACCTGCAGGATGGTCTTGCGTCCCACCGCTGCCACGATGAGAAATTGTTTGTTAGGCAGTGGGAGACCTGGTAAGAGTCAAAGAAGCAAGAATTCAGGGGTAAGTGGTAGGCTAGGAATGCCCCGGCTATCCAAGTAACCGTTTAGCTTGGTCCAGAAAGATTGGATTAGAGCACACTCCCACAGACAGTGATACAGATCAGCCTTGGCGTGTGTATTTGAAGCAAGTAAAAAGGTTGTCTGTAATAACCGCTGTACTGTATGTGTAACCTTGTTTGATAGTGTTATGTGCATGGAATTCGTATGCTAGCAGGCGAAAGCCGCTAGCATTCATGTGTTTCGTTTCACGAACAGCGACTTTACTGGCTGTTCATAAACCGAATGAGCTACCCCTAATAGCCCACACATAGAGGGACGTGTGGCGCTCATTAACTGATTGCAACAATGTTGCAATCGGTAACTAGAAACTTTCCTAGGTGGCTGTCATTCGGCTACCGACCACGCGGCGGTCGGCCATCTTGGATCCTTTGTCTCACCAGCGGTGTTTGGTCGTCGAGCGCGTGGAACTGAAAACGGCTACTCGACTGCGCGAACACCGCTGGACTTCCAGGCCGTTCGGGAGCTTCGGTCTTTCGTTAATGTGGTTCCCCATCGGTGTTCGGTCCGTTTAGGCGAACTCAATGGCAAAGTGTATTTCATGCGGCGTTCGGTTGTTTTAGCTGGGATCTGGGCGGTATTCCCACGAAATGTGCGCTCAGACCCCAGCTATGTACTGAATGTCCATTCGTTTAAATAAACCAAACAGTGTAAAAGTTATACATGTTAATGTAAAATGCCGGTTCTGCTGCATGGAGGGATAATCCACTTTAATGGTGTATTCCAGTGGGAGTATCCCTCTCGTGCAGCAGTGCCTGATGGGAGAAATGCCCAGAATGTTAAGTCCCCCATGTAGTCCCCTACTGTGTTACCCCTGCTATGTCAGTAGGGAAACCCCTTGCATAAATACTGGAAGCTGTGAATAAAAACCTCAGTTGACTCCCAGAACTGTGTCTCGTCCGGTTACTGGGGGATTTGGGAGATTGCCTTACTTTTCAGCGTGGACTGTGGATTACCTTCTATACCAGCGGAGATCGTGGGATTTAATATTGCCGCTCTGCTACAATAACTATACATTAAAAAAATATATATAAATTAATAAATAAAGATTCAAATAAATCTAATGAAAAAAATCTGTACTATTTTATTTTAAAAAATGAGTACTCACTTTTTGAAGTTCACCTCCTCTATTCTGCCTTCTGTCTCCAGCCTCCTCTCTCCAGCCTTCTGAATCCACATTCCAATCTTCTATCTTCAGGCTGTCAGCAGCCAGCCCAAGCTGTGTTGTTGAAGATCTAATCTTCCAGACTCCCACATGCTGCTGCTTACAGCCTCAGGGGAGACAAGATGCTCGTGCACAGTGCTGCCCTGTGCTCTGCTGACAGCAGATCTGGGTGGATGGAGGCATATTATGCCTCCATCAACTCCGAATTCCCTCTGAGTGACTGCAACTGGAGGTGTTCCTAGCTTTCAATGTAAGCACTGTATTTTCTCAGAAAATACAGTGTTTACATGAGAAAGGCTGCAGGGAGCTATAGTTCTCACCCGAACAACTTCATTAAGCTGAAGTTGTTCAGGTGACTATAGTGTCCCTTTAAATATTTACTTCACAAATCACTTCAATAACAATTCTATCCAAATCCATGTTAAAGCACAAGATAAAAGTGTGTAGTTCCTGTGAAATTCCCCGAATCCCTCACCTCTCCAGTTAGCAGGTAGTTGACCTCCAGGGTTAGATCCAGGATCCTCTTGGTCAGTTGATTCCTGTTTCTCATCATTAAGCCAATCAGGCAGCCTGAGAACAGGCTCTTTTGGTTGTGGACAGGAATTAGAATATTCTGTGGCTCTCTAATTACAGATGTATTGTATTTCAAGGTACACTTCACACCTAAAATACATTGAGAATACAAATTAATTAAATCACTAAAAATAACAGATAAACTGTATATTTACCTCCCATAAATTATACACACAATAAGGGGGCTGTATATTTACCTCCTATATGTTATATACACAGTATATACAAAGGGTGTATATTTACCCCATACATTATATACACAGTATATACAGGGGGTGTATATTTACCTCCTATATGTTATATACACAGTATATACAAAGGGTGTATATTTACCACATACATTATATACACAGTATATACAGGGGGTGTATATTTACCCCATACATTATATAGACAGTATATACACGGGGGTGTATATTTACCCCATACATTATATGCACAGTATATACAGGGGGTGTATATTTACCCCCGTACATTATATACACAGGGGGTGTATATTTACCCCCGTACATTATATACACAGGGGGTGTATATTTACCCCCGTACATTATAAACACAGGGGGTGTATATTTACCCCCGTACATTATATACACAGTATATACAGGGGGTGTATATTTACCCCCGTACATTATATACACAGGGGGTGTATATTTACCCCCCGTACATTATATACACAGGGGGTGTATATTTACCCCCCATACATTATATACACAGTATATACAGGGGGTGTATATTTACCCCATACATTATATAGAAGCATCCTGGAGACACCGGTATCGCATGGATTTATAATTAAGGGCAACGGTAGCATTCGTGCAGCACCCCTGGTTGAGGAGGAACTCAGTGAGATGGAGCGAGCTAGCCCCCGGGCTTCCACATAGGATGAGGAGTTCCAGTGGAGATTACAAGGCGCACTGGCTCAGGAGTATGGCCTGTTTCAGCCGAGGAGGAACTGAGCTGGAGAGAATTTGTAATGCGAGAACTCTGGCAGGAGTCCATGGATGGAGCACAACTTTGGTGGAAAAAGAAGCTTCCAAGTACAGCGCACCGCTGGCAGGAACAAGTGACCCAACGGATGGTGATTGTGGCAAAACTAGCCACTTAAGACTGTATTGGTACCAATGTACTGCTGTTGCTTTAAGCCTGAAGAACCAAGCGTATACTTATTACTGTATGTAACGGACCGTTTCTCTCACAAGAGGATAAAAACCGTTTAGGCAATAATCCCCTTTCCCATAGACCAGCAGCTACTGCAATCACCAAACTCCCGAACTGCAAACTGTACGAATTCACCAACTCCCGAACTGGAAACACACGAACACTGGAATCAGCCGAACAGGAAAAGCATACAATCCGCTTACACTCCTGGCAGTCAGCATACAATCCAATTCCCCCCAAAAACGAGACGACACATCGGTTTGAGGGTCAAGCAGAAACTCCCTGTACTGTCACATACAGTCTCTTTTATTCCCAATCCACAAACATAATACAGCCCACAGGGCGTTACAAAACAACCAATCAATCCGTACAATACACCCAGACACTCCCACACAAAATCCTCCCCTCTGCAGGTGATATGATTACTGAACACAATGGGTAATCCCATTATCACCGGCAGAGGAATACAGTTTTTACACAACATTTATAACTTCTAAAATATAAATGTCACAAACATAAAACATACATTTTCATAATCAATCCATTCAGGGGAACAACATATTAAAAAATGGCACGAATCAGACCAGGGGTTCAAAAGTTAAGGGAAAGTCCTTTGTGACTAATTGAAGCATGGCTTTCCGGCCCAAACCAGTTTCAGAGTCTTCTATCCTTTAGATAATTGAGAGTAATTCAATTATCTCCCAGGACAGACACAAGACTCCATTAAGCACATGGTTGCAAAAAGACACAAAACACTTTAAAATACATAAAGTCACCTTTACACATAACACACAGACATTTCACATATCCCCAGATAGCTGGGATCTGAGTGCACATTATTAGATGAATGGCACTCAGATCACACAAATAAGCCTTTCTGCAGGGGAAATAAACGGTTTAACCTGCAGGGCCATAGTCCAAAGGGAGCAGGCGAGCAACCAGGCTTCTCCAGTTCACAGTGGCAAGGTTGGTTTCGCCACACTGTATTTTAACCGAACAAGAGCATTCGTACGCTGGCGGGATAAAGCCACCAGCATTCCTACAATAGTTTCACAAAGAGAGAATTTCAACGCTGTTCATGAAACGAATAAACTACCGAATGGGAGACCACACACAGGAGGTAGTTAATGGCTTTCCTAGTTGGCCGTCATTCGGCTACCGACCACGCGGCGGACGGCCATATTGGATCCTTTGTGAGCCCAGCGGTATTTGGTCGTCGAGCGCCTGGAACTAAAAACGGCTACTCGACGGCACGAATACCGCTGGACTTCCAGGCCATTCGGTAGCCCCGGTCATTCGGTAGTTTATTCCCCTACGGTCAATCGGTATTTTAAATGCAACTAGAAAATAATGTGTATTTCGTTCGGTTAGTTATACTGGGATAATAGCGGTATTCTCACGAACTGTGCGCTCAGACCCCAACTATCTACCGAACGTCCATTTGTTTAAATAAAGTGAATGATGTAAAAGTTATGTATTTTAATGTGAAATGTTGGTTCTGCTGCACGGAGGGATAATCCACTTAACTGTATATTCGAGTGGGAGTATCCCTCTCGTACAGCAGTGCATGATGGGAGAAATGTCCGGGTTGTTAAATTCCCCATATAGTCCCCTACTGTACCACCCCTGGAATGTCAGTAGGGAAACCCCTTGCATGGGGAATCCCATAAATACTGTGACCTGTGAATAAAACCTCAGTTGACTCCCAGCCTATGTGTCGTCTAGTTCTTGGGAAGGAAGGATTCTTACAACGCTACCGGGATTATTGCATGCTGTATTCATTTACCTGGATTATTTTATGCTGTTCCTGTTACCCAGCGGATTATACTACCTCTCCGCTACAGTGATCCTGGGAGAGTAACCCTTGATGGAGTGGGTAAGGCACCTTGAGTTCCTGGTCAAGAGAGAGATGATGCTGGATGACTTGTACCTGGCGCTATGGTGGTACGCAGTCCAGCGAGACACTTGGGTGGCAGAGGGCATTCAGCCAGAGGGGGAGGGCTACAATGGCTCCAGCCTGTTGTTAAGGTCCATGGAGGAGGACAATGACTTTGGGAGTCCAGAGGAGTCGCGGTTCTGGGCTATTTATTGTTACCGGAAAAAGCTGCTGCCGTTCTCAGGAGCTATTGAGCTGGGACGAGACCTCACGCACCTGGTTGCTATAGAGTGGGAGCTGGAGCAGGACTACCAACACCTGCTCTGCTCAATTTGACCCCAATATACCCTGCAGGAAAGCTGGGTGACAGACCCAGATCCACAACTTACAGCTGGGAAGACCTAGCTGAGGTACCCCCTGCTTTGCTACCAGTTCCAGTAGCAGGGGACGTTGTAGCGGAGTAGTGGTATTATCCACGGTATCTCCGCTGGTAGGCAGGATGAAGCAGGTAAAATGCAGGTAGCGTAGTTACAATCCTTTTCTCCTAAGAACTAGACGACACATAGCTTGGAGGTTAAAACACTGGCATCTCACCAGGCTGAGTCAAAACTCTTTATGATTACATCTTCCTTTTAGCACAGACCTCCGCAGGGGGGTCTGCATTCCACACAATACACTTCCCTTAGTCCCAGGCAGGAGGGGGTTGGGTTACAGATAGCCATCTCCCGCCTTAGGAGATACCAAACAGTACACAGGGATACACTTTACATCATATTACATTCAGGGGGGGTTACACTTTAAGTGGCTGGTTTGGCCACAGATAGGAATAGCAATGCAGTAATAGCAAGATATATACAAGGACATACTGTAAGTGGCTAGGTTTGCCACAATGCTCCCCCAGAACCAAGCCGGCATACCCAGACTGATCCCAACGGATCGGCTTGGGGATGTCCGGAGGAGTACTCACAGATCACTTTTCAAGTTCAGTTTGTCTGGATAACCCGTCGGCGTTGCCATTTTGCTTTCCAGGGCGGTAGTGGATTTTAAAGTCAAAAGGCTGCAGCGCCAAACTCCAGCGCAGCAGCCTGGCATTGTCCCCTGACACCCGGTTCAGCCACACCAACGGGTTGTGATCTGTGAGTAGCGAGAATGGTTGTCCGTACAAATAGGGCTGCAGCTTCTTGAGGGCCCACACCACGGCCAGGCATTCCTTTTCGATGGCGGCGTAGCTTACTTCCCGGGGTAAAAGTTTTCTGCTTAAGTAGGCCACTGGATGCTCACCGCCATCTGCTCCGACTTGGCTCAGTACTGCCCCCAATCCAAACATAGAAGCGTCTGTATGGACAAGAAAACGTTTTGTTGGATCAGGAGCAGCAAGTACAGGTGCGTTAACAAGAGCAGTTTTTAGTTGCTGGAATGCCCGTTCACACTCTGGGGCCCATTCTACTTAGGGAGGTTTTTGCGGGTTAAATCGGTGAGGGGTTTGGCCAGGGTCCTGTAATCGGGCACAAACTTCCGATAGTACCCTGCGGTACCTAAGAACGCCAGGACCTGGGTTTTGGTACGCGGTGTTGGCCATTTGGCTACGGCCTCTACCTTGGCGGGTTCTGGCTTTTGCTGGCCGCTTCCTACCCGGTGCCCTAAATACTGAACTTCAGCCATCCCTATATGGCACTTACTGGGTTTAAGGGTTAACCCTGCCTCCCTAATGCGGTCTAGTACGGCTCCTATATGGGTCAGGTGTTCGGTCCAGGAATGGCTGAAGATTGCTATGTCGTCTAAATAGGCGCAAGCGTACTCCTGGAACCCATCCAACAGCCGATCCACCATCCTCTGAAAGGTAGCCGGAGCGTTTCTCATCCCGAATGGCATGACCTTAAACTGGTACAGGCCGAACGGGGTTACAAACGCCGACTTAGGGATGGCGTCCTCGGCTAAAGGAATTTGCCAATAGCCCTTACAAAGGTCTATCGTGGTGAGGTACTGGCCCCTG